CAGTCAAATGGAGATTGTTGAGCAGCAGATTCCCTTCTTCAAAGATATGGTCTATGAGGGTCTGCCTGCGCACTGCCTTCCTCGGCTTCCCCTCAAGATCGCAAAGCATGGGGGGTAGCAGCATTTGGGCGCTGCAAGGCCCGTGTCCTCTGACAGAAATGTGGCAGTGCCCTTGGTTTTGTGTTTGGTTGGAGTAAAACGTGTGGATACGGGTGGTGATTTTGAATTTGAGAGATGTTGAGAGGGCCTTAGGTGGCATGATTCTATAAGGAATAATGTTTGATATTTCCCGTCAAACTTTATATAGTCTGGATTGAAAGGGGTCGTGATTTTATAGTTAACAGGTCGTGCATTGCTTCGCTTCATATTCCTTCACTACTTTTTTTTCAAATCGTTTCGATGTGTTTGTGTTCTGTTGCATATTCAGTGAGGTCATGCATCGAAAAAATGCCGCGGGACAACTGACGTCCCCACTTCGCACAATCTTCTTTGGTGAGTTCTACACAGACCACAGCGGAGCCCGCCAGTATGGAATACCTCCCATGGTGTTTAGAAGGGCCGAGCCGATGAGTGACGCTTTAAACACGGCTCTCTTCAATCCCTTTTACGTTCTGAGCAATCCAGATTCTTGGATCCGTTTTGCTGGGTGTTTTTCCTTTCGGCTTCAACCCACGTCATATCATTTAACTCTGATGGACGACTCCTGACCTTTTCTTACATAACCCCGACATACCCCGACCATCCAATCCCATGATTCTTGGTTCCCAACGTTCAGTGTCGTATGGTCGGTGTCTTCAGCTTGTTGATCTGAGTCAAGGACATTGTCGGCAAGATTGTAGAAGTTCCATGGCACAGTCGCGGTTTCCTTCTTTTGAACATGCTCGTGGCCTTGAACAGCTGTCCCTCTATGCATCGCACGATGCCCTTGAAGATCCGTGCAGAGAACGCGATGACCGGCTTCATTTTGATTGATTGCTTCAAGATTGCGGCGGACTTGCGATGCAAGAAGCATTCCTGGCAGCTGAGACTGGGAGGAACTTGCAGGCAGTTTCTCTTGGAGTGCTGGCAGTCTGTTTGTCCAAGGATCGGATTGGGGACCCCTGGAAGCACGGACACTGCAGGCTCACAGAGCTTCCCATAGAAGAGTACTTTGGATCCCTACGCGTGCAGTCCACATCTGCGCAGCTGACTGCCCGTTCATTTTGGCGGGCCTGTGCAAGGCAGATGCTTCGCCAACAGCGATCTGACGATCCAAAGCCACCTACTACAGATCCTGCAGACGAATTGGAGCCGCTAACAGCGACGCAGTTCATGGAGGCGAGGATTGGGGTTTTGTGGGGGGGATGTGTCGGAATGTTTGGTGCCTTTTTTCTTCTTTTGTTGATCCTTTTGTCCATTTGCAGCTACTCAGGAAAGTGAATGATAGTGAAAGCTTTTAGTTCTTCTTAGGATGGACATCATGCCAGGTCATGCCAGCGATTACAGCTCATCTGGCTAAGGGTGTTAGATTCTATAGTGTTGTCGTTTGGCCCAGACTTTGATTTTATAAGCGCCATACACATCCATACAGTACGTGATATACATGGGTGGACTGTTTGTTCCTGTTGATTTAATTTTATGTATTCTTATGCCATAGAATGGGTCAACTCCAGCATCCGGGGCGGTTTTGTCCCTCTTTGTCCGATAACAGCTGCTCAGGCGAGTGAGAGGGCTCTGAAGGCATCCATCCGATTGGTGGCTTACTGTGCAAGTGCAACTCCTGATTCGGTGGAGTTGATGTACAGGGATTGGTGTGAGAACCAATGCTTCAAGGAACCTGATGTGGTTCTTGGGGACGAGCACGGCGACTTGGAGTTGGAACTGGATGATGCCTGTGACAAGGACGAGACTGATGTACGGGAGGTGCTGGAGCATTTGGGTGCAGAGACTCGGCTGGTGGGATCAGAGGCGGAGCATGAGCTAGCAGAAACTCAGGAGCAAAACAAAGATCCTGCCTTGCGGACATTTGAACTTCGGAATCTGCCTGATGCATCCATTTTGGAAGATCTCTTCAGTGAGCCTGCAGATGACTTCAGTGGAACTGCCAGTGACCCGCGAACACTGCACCATGCCCTTTCAGCAACAGACTTCAACTCTGAGGTGAAGGTCTTTGACCGGCTCTGGCGGTTCACCATGTACATGAGGTACTGGCATGGAGGAGGTGACGCGCATTGGATCTCCAACCCTCGTGCAACGCGCGCCAAATCCAAGAAGCTGAACTGGTACCAGTGCTTTGGCGCAACAAGTCTGCCCAGCTTGTGCCCTCAGCTTCCCTTAGTTGATTGTATATTTGTGAAGTTGTAGGGAGAGGGCCTTAGGTGGCATGATTATATAAAGACTCTTTTTTGGCTTCTGTTGCATTTCTTCCATGCAGACATATCGAGACAATTTACACTGGACAAGACACACCCACTGCGTACAATTGGCGATAAAACGACAATGTACATATAAAAAACATAGATGTCAAACGAATCCAGAAGATGTGCTTTCTACATCTTTCTACGCTGTCCCATTTGCCCCCTCAACTTTAGTCAGCGGCTTTTCTGGATTGAAAGGGGTTGTCATTGTATAGTTAACAGGTCCCTCTAGGGGGCATGATTCTATAGAGTATTCATTTACAAATTCATGGATTCAGGTGGAACGAGGCCAAGCTCAAGGAGATAGCTTTGGAGGAAGAGACGGTGATGTTTCGGCAGAGAGCTTCTCGCTTGGCCAAGTGGCGCGAAGTCGCCCAGCAAGCGGCAGAGAACCACTCTGTCAAAGTCAACGCACCGGATGCCATTGAGTTTTTGGGCAGCGCATCAGAATATATTTTCTTCATTTGTTTTCACCTACATGTGTTTTCACTTGGTGTTGGAGATTTAGAATATTGAGCGTTGTAGTTAAATGCGATGGATTATTAGCATTAAATTAAAGAGTTTCGCTATTTTGTGCTTGCGCCAGGAGTGGACACATTATCCTGTTCATGATGCCGCAGAATGACAAAGCGCAGTGGACATGGATGCCAATGGTCGGGCTGATCACATCTGTGTGGATGGGGCAGAAGAAACCAGGCTTGCTACCTCCAAACTGGCCATCCAGCACTGCGTGGGGGCGAGGGTTGTCCAGCTTCAAGGTCATGCAGACGGTGAGGGGCCAACGCAGTGGAGGTGTGGGCCACGTTCCTTGGCAAGTGTTGTTCGCCCTCACACTATCGTGGCCATTCTGGATGTGCAGAGCGATGGATTCAATGAGACCGCATTCGGAGCCACAGTGATTCTGACTGAAGAGTCCGAGGTACCTTGACATGGTTGCTGGATGTTGTTGGAGTTTTCATGAGTTTGCCAGGAGGCCCCATTCTATAGTGTAAAGATGTATAAATTGGCACTCCCCAGCTTCGGGACACCTAGGTCCTTATAGAATCTGAGGCCTGAACAAACAAACATCCCTATAAAATCTAACCCCTTAGTCCGAACCTCATGGACATTGATCGGACATGATCGGACATTGATATTACAAGTTTTCATGAGTTTACTACGTGCCAATAGATGTCAAAAGAGTATTCAAAATCCCCTTTGAATTTCACATCTTCCCCTGGGTGGCCCGATTCTATAGTATAGAGATGCTTGTAGGGTATTGTAGGTGTATATAGTTTATATAGATGCAAATAAAGGCGCCCCCCCAGTTCCCGATTGTTCAAAGATGATCAAAAGGGTTTTTCTATTGCTTATTCTTCAGCCGAGGCATTGGTTGGTCAGATGGACGGCATTGCTCAGTGGTGGCCAGCAATGTTGGACACAGAAGAGATGTCTGCTCCATCTTCAGGCCTGGTTTTGCCTGGAAATGGTAGAAAGCGCAAAAAGAGACGTCAGAACAAGACGGGCGCAAAGCCGGGTGAGGACAAGAAGGCTGCGGATGGCAAGAGCCACAAGAAACGGAAGCAGACCTTGAAGAAGCAGAAGAAAGGGAAGTGTGAGGAGCCTGAGGTTGAGGTTGCGCCGGAGAATTTCCGGCGAAATGCCGCAGGAGAGAGCTTGGTGGTCAAGATGATGGTGGATGTGAAGGACCTTGATGATGTGAAGTTTCCAAATCAGCCATTGTGGACACTCAATGCCCGATGCAAGCTGAAGCTGGGCAAATGTCACGGAGTGGCTTGGGAACGCTGCAAGGATGAGGCCAACACATACTTCAAGGCGGAATACTGCAGGAAGACATCATCGCAGTATGGAAAGAGTGTGCGTGAGCATTTCCAGAGAATCATTCGTGGTCTGGAGAGTGACAAGCCAGATCGACGTTTGTGGCTCCGACTGCTCAAGGACATCTCCATGGCGACATTTGACGGCTGACGTGCAGCATGTAGAGTCGACGAGTCGAAAGATGGGTGTACAGTCGACGAGTCGTGATGTGGTATAGGGGTTGATGAATCAAAACGATTCATATCACACACCAGAACCGTGCTAGTGAAAGATGAGCCTCAAGTCTTATGCGTCTAACTTGCATTGTCGGAAACACCAATCGGAAAACGCTCTTGCCACTATAGAATCACAGGATTTTTGGTTATCTTGATGTTATTTTTGTTTGTCGAAGATGGGAGGTGTGATTCTTTAGCGGTCGGACTTTTTCCGATCACTGTCCGCGAGGTTGCCTTTCTGACTAAGGGGTTAGATTTTATAGTGATGTCGGTGTGTTCAGGCCTCAGATTCTATAAGGATCTAGGTGTCCCGAAGCTGGGGGGGCGCCGTTTTATACTATAGAACCGGGCCACCCAGCACCCGAGTTGAATTTCAAAGGGGATCCTGTAACAACCTATTACTATGCACATCGTCGTATTCTAGTGAACTTCCCATCCCTTCCCTTTGCACACGACCAACATCCATGAACAACCCGCCCCACCCCCCGCGCACATCCCCTCCGAACAGCCGCGCACCACGCCCACCGGTGGTGCCCACCGCGACTCGCGGCGACTCCGGCGACGGAGCGAGGATCGGCTGGAGCGGAGTCTCCGAGAGGAGCGGATGGACGGATGGACTGACCTGGAGACGCTGTTTTTTTTAGGTCGGTGGTTTTCTTTGTTATTTTTCTGGTTGGGTGTTTTTTTGAACGTTTTAGAATGCGTGTCTCTCCATTGACATCATTTGACATCCCATGGGTTGTGTTTCACAGCTGGAGCGGAAAATCAGCCAGGTCCTTGATCCAAGTCTTTCGTCAGGTCTTGGTCAACGCTGCCATGTTCGCGGACCAAAAACACTCCGGTATCGACCGGTGTCGACTCCCGGTGTCGACTCGGCAAGGACCGGACTGAGCCAACGGACGCGGTGGGGCCCGTGGGGGTAGACCCCACGGACGCGGCTTCTGCGTGGGCTTTGGTGAGCACCAGCCGCTTTGGTGAGCAAACGCGTTGGTCCATGGGTTCTTTTGATGTTCCTTTATGTCCATTGGTGGTCCACAATGACAACAGAGTGTGAGAATACTGCCAGTTGCATCTGGGAAAACCTTGTCAGTGTTGTTTGGCTTGACCTTGCTTCGCTCGCTTTGCTTGAGATTTGCTGCTCACCGGCCAGCCGCTTCTAGCGCTTCCACCACCGCGCGGCTACCAAGACTGGGTTTTTTCGCTGAGCCCCCCTGCGTGCGCGAGCCCAAAGACTGCCTTCAGGCAGGTCGGGGTGAAAATTGTGGATTCCAAGAAATCCAAACAGAAGATCCTTGTGCATCCTTGTGACAACGAACCGGTTCTCCTGATGGTGGTATTCTTGAATCTTCAATAATGCTTCAATATTTATCCTACAAGGAGTATGAGTTCGCAGCAAACAGATTCATTTTGATGTGAATCTTTTTCATGGTCTTCAAGTTGGCAAAGCTCCTTATGTCGCTTTGATGTCGCATCCAGTACTTCGAGATCACGCGAGCTTTTATGAGATTTAGCCCTAGCGCTTTTGACTTGAACCAACCCTTTGGCAGAATCCCATAGAAAAAGGGATGAACACGGTCTTTCTTCTCTTTCTTCTCTTCATGTCAAACCGCATCGGGTTTGCACCGCACATCGAAGGCTTTTGTCAACCGCATCGGGTTTGCACCGCACATCGAAGGCTTTTAGCCTTGGCGGCCTCCTGTTTGCGCGGCGACAAAAACGTGCTGCCGAAGGCTCTGCTGTGCCTTGAGGCAGTGGAGCAGTTGCCATTGCCACGTGGCGTTAGGAACATCGTGGGTGGGTCTTAGATCGGAGTGCAAAAAGGAAGGAGAGGCCTGCGATGGTTTTTGTAGGTGACAGGTTTTCCCATGTGTAACCTCAAAATCTAGAAACCACATGAATGGTGCGAGCGCTTCAAGGAAGCGTCCCCGGCCTACTTAATAAAGTAAGAGCGGTTTTGTCAAGCAAGATTTCAACGTGGAATTCAGATTCCTTCATGCAGATGTCGACGGGGGTCTCAATTTCCAATCGTACTATCACCATTCTGTCTTCCGGACCCTTCTGCGGCGACCCCTGCGGTCGATGGATGCTATGATGGTGTTCTTGCCTTCGGTCGACGGTTACAATCCCCCTCCGTGTGTCTTCGGTGCGATCTTCGGTGTCGATGGTTACGCCCCAAATCCCCCAGGTTTCTGCGCTCCTGTGGGGATTTGCTCTTCCGGGACTGGAACTTGGAAGGCCGAGAAGAAGAGCACCCCTGGGGAGAAAGACGACAGGGAGATGGGGATGTCGGACAGGTGCAACACGCGGAACACGCGGAACAGGCTGTTGGTAGTTTGTTGAGGTTTTGGTACGTAGCCTTCAGCATCCTTTAGCAGTAAGATTGAACATGAGAAATGTCAACCACCCCGCAGACCCCGGGAAATCTCCGATATAGATTCATCATTCCTGAGAACATCCCTGCAGCCGGGATTGTTTGGATCGTTTTGGACTGCACTGCACCCGGCTTCCCGTGGCCCACCTCAATGTAGTGTAGTGATGTGTAGTCTAGAGATGTGTAGAGTGTAGTATTCCCTAGATGAAAAGTGTCGGATTGTTCCTGTGACACTACGCGCTGATGGTATCCCTGATACTAGGAACAAGAAGCTACTAGGGGCTCCTGGCCTTACTACTAGGAGCAAGGACGCTACTAAGGGCTCCTGGCCGTACTACTAGGAGCAAGAAGCTACTAGGAGCAAGGGCATCGCTACTAGGAGCAAGGAAGCTACTAGGAGCAAAGGGCATCGCTACCAGGAGCAAGGACGCTACTAGGGGCTCCTGGCCTTACTACCAGGAGCAAGGACGCTACTAGGGGCTCCTGGCCATACTACTAGGAGCAAGGACGCTACTAGGGGCACCGGGCCTTACTACTAGGAGCAAGGACGCTACTAGGGGCTCCGGGCCTTACTACGAGCAAGGACGCTACTAGGGGCTCCTGGCCTTACTACGAGCAAGGACGCTACTAGGGGCTCCGGGCCTTACTACTAGGAGCAAGGACGCTACTAAGGGCTCCTGGCCGTACTACTAGGAGCAAGAAGCTACTAGGAGCAAGGGCATCGCTACTAGGAGCAACAAGCTACTAGGAGCAAAGGGCATCGCTACTAGGAGCAAGGACGCTACTAGGGGCTCCTGGCCTTACTACCAGGAGCAAGGATGCTACTAGGGGCTCCTGGCCTTACTACTAGGAGCAAGGACGCTACTAGGGGCTCCTGGCCTTACTACTAGGAGCAAGGACGCTACTAGGGGCTCCTGGCCTTACTACTAGGAGAAGGACGCTACTAGGAACAATATCCATCAGTATCCTCCTTAGCGACTGCACACCAGGTGCCTGGGCGGCCACGGCCACCAGCGACGCTGCGGCCCTGGTCATTCTCGGACCGGCTTACGCGCCGAACCGCGTGGGGAGGGGCACAACAAGCCACCAAGTCACCAAGAAAGCCACTAAGTCACCTTGAGCCACTTTTCTATGGCTGGGGTTGTTTGCTACCGCAAGATGCTGCTAGATCGGCATGGACTGGAAAATGGCTTCCGCAGGCTGCGACATGCTGTTAAAAAAACATCAAAGATCCTAAAAGTACCAAATTTCCACCCATTCTCTCTCCAAGACCTCATATTTTCGGTTGAATCCAACTCTTGGGTCTCCAGTTCCCTGGTCCACCCCTGGCGTCCGCCGAACCCCGCCGGGACGGAGGGAGGAGACGTCGGACGCCCCAGGACTCCTGGCCATGGAGCGCCCCTCGTGGCCCGCGCTGCTCCGCTCCGAGGCCCTGCACAGCGGTGCCCCTCGGTGGCGCCAGCGGAGCAACGGGCGGGGCCGGGCGGGTGGCAAGGCCACGGTTCTGGGGTCGAAGGTTCGAAGAAAGGAAGCAGGGAAGCCAGGGAGATGCGATCATGCAGTTGAGGTGTTTGTTTGTTGGAGAGATCTATCAAATCATATCCAACAAGCAAACAACATGTTGGAAATCATTCCAACCAATCATTATGTTTGCTTGTTGTTATCATTGAAATCATTGGAATGCTCCATAATGCCAAATTTGGTCTACTCTGAGAGTCTCCACTTAAAGCTTGGACAATTTCCATGAGCATGAGTAGTGGCGTCGGGCTTGCCTAAGACATTCCAAGCCAAATCATGGTAGCAGGTAGTATATAGTCCTGAATCATATTGAATCTATTGTATTATTCGATTATTTCATTATGTTCCATAATTTTCTGATGTCCACAGGCCTTCTTTCGTCGAATTCAACCCGCCAAATACGCAGAAACTGACAAGAAGCAGTTGGGAAGATGTGGTTTCCAAATCAATCTCTTTGCAGAGAAGATTGTTTGGTGAGATATGCAAGGTCTCAGCAGCAAATGTATCAGCAAATATATAACTGTTAATGGCACAAGCCCTACAAGACTACAGCTTTTCTTTCTTGTGCAAGACGGCCAAGGCATGTTGTTTTTGTTGGGGATGTGATTTTCGACGACGGTGGTGGCTTCTCCTCGTTCAAAAAGAGCCGCGACGTGACGGGGGCCCTGTCGGAGTTCGGAGTTTGGGGGCCGTGGGGCGCTCCCAACTTGTGAGGAAGTGGCCAAAAGTTTGCATGCGGCTGTGGAGCGGCTTCTTCTCGGAGGTGACCGGGTTGGCCTCCGGTCGTGGCCGTCAGGTTGTCGTCAGGGCCTCCGGTCATCACAGGTTTGAGGCAGTTGAGGCCTCAGTTGATCATGTTGCTTGGCCCCTCAAAAAGAGATGGGTTGTGGTCATTAAGCTTCGCAGTTGCCAAGCATACCGGTATTATCAGCAAATTTCATCCCGGCGGTACGGGAGTGAGGAAGCGTGTTGAAATCGTTGATCGGACAAAAAACTGACGACATCTTCAACTTGGCTGGAGGGCAATGCACATATATATATATATAACGTTATATATATACTTGCAATTTGTAACCTTCCAGTTTTGAGGGAGGTCAGTTGATCAGTTGAAGTTTGAGGGGTCAAGAGGGAGAAGCCTCTTCCAAACTCCCCAAGAATACAGTACTCAGCATTCTTGCAGAAAAAGAAGTATCCGCATTACAGTCGCATCAATATGTAGAATTCTGAACACATGTGGCCCCCGTTGGACCTGCTCCTCCAACCTGAAATAGTCTTCCACCGCACGATTCGTGCTCGGTGTAGATCCACACCGTACGAGTTCTCAGTTGTGATCCGTACGTTTGGGAGTTCTCGGTTTTCCGATCTGCCAACAGGAGAAAGTGCCGAGGAGAGCTTTCTTTTGGGTGGACAGAAAAGGGTTTGTTTGGGGGGACAGCGGCTTGGATGATCTTGGATGGTAAGACCTTTGATGGACCATGAACACTGACTTGAAGAAACCTTGCTTCAGACACATTCTGGCAGATTTGGTTTCAGAAAAGACTCCCTTTCTTCCGTCGTGAAGCCGGACATAGCCCCATCCCAGCTAGACTAGACTGTGGCACCCAGCTGGTTGGACGGGGTACACGTCCGTACATGGCACACCTGATCGAAAGCGTTCCGCCATGCGTTCCGCCGTGCGTTCCGCGGTGCGTGGCATGCAGCATGTTCCGGGGTGACCAAATGCGCCGAATCGGAAGATGGATGATGAAGGTAAAAGCATGTAAAGAGGATTGGTGAAACGGTCGAACCTGTATTACCATGCCATACCAACCCTTTTTGAGCGTTTCTGTAGTCACTCCACCTCCGGGGGTGAAGCGCAATGCCTTCAGCTTTTGGACAGACAGGAGCTGTCTCCTTGCAGGCGCGCCGAAGATTCCCTGGATGTGTGTAGAGCATCGAACACTTCTTGGTGGCAGAGAGGTGGCAGTGACCATTTCCAGGAAACCGTCGTCGAACATGGCTCAGTCGATGAACAAAGGTCCAAGTGGAGTCGATCCGAAGAGCGATCTGAAAGATCCGAAGGAGGAGGGTCCTTTCTCGCTTCTTTGAAATGTATGCAAGTGCGTGCAAGCCCCGGCTTGCTCACGTGTGATCCAGATTGTGATCAGTGAGGTGGAACTGTGTATGATTTGTAATGGTATCATTGTAATTACCATGGATTTGGTTTGATTGTACAAGCCGATCAAGGTGGTGATTGTACCAGCCCCAAACCCACAGCCAGCCTGCAGGGTATTTCTTGACTCTCTTAGAAGCCCACTGCAGTATACTGCAGGATGGCTGCAGTGATGGGCCTGTTTGAAGGCCAAGACAATGAGTACCGCGCGCTGGGCGCAGGTGCTTGAGTGAACCTTGCCTTTTACTTCTCATCTTCCTGCTGCGGGCGGAGCCAGGCCGCTTCGAAGCCTGCCATGAGCTGGTGCAACAGATGCAACATGCGCAACATGCGCCGGGATGGTCCTACAGACCCTGCAGAAACGCGTGTTCAAAAACGTTTTTTGCAGAAGGTTTTGTGGGGGAAGCCTTTTGGACATGGAAGCCTATACTAGCCAACAGCCTATACAGTGACCAGCGACTTCAGAATCATATTGTCTATTGGTTTGGCAGCGTGAGTGATATGAGTCGTATCAAGATGGATATGAGTACTGGAATGGCATCGCCTTGGCCGTCGCGGGAGGTTGGCTGCGAGACTGTGATTTGTTCAAGATCCAGCCGCTTTTGGTGCGCCTGGCGCGCTCGACGAGCCGCACGCCCGGCAGTCAACGCTTGCTGCTGCTCCGCTACTCGGACACGCGGAAGGGTACGGGAAAAGAAAGATACAGATACCTGGAGCGTTCGCATCCAAGGGGTTCTAAACTAGACTGATTACATGTGGGCTTCTATAGTGGCTTCCATTCACCACCAATTGGATCGTCCTGGTCGCGATAGTGTCGACATCAGGATGGTTCGAAGCACCAATAGCCTCTTGTGGCGGCATCTCCAGCAGAAACCAAGAGAACATCAAGAGGCGTGAACCTTAACTAGGGTTTGGGCTGACAACAGCCCTTTGTTTGGCGTGAGCTGGGGTTTCCTTCTACCAAAAGCCTGTACAGAAGTCATGCGTGTGTGCACATAGTCTCCCTTTGAAGGACCCTTGAACCAGAACAGGTACCAGGTACCGCAACACAGAACTTTCATGAATGTTCAAGTCAGCAAGGGGCCATTTTTCTGGCTTTGACCTACCCAGTCGCTTGTTTTGGTTGAGGGGGACGTAGAGAAAAGCTGACGCTCTCCATCGCTATCGCTTTCGCCTCGCTGCGGTCCATCTCTCCGGACTCCTCTTCGGCCTCATGGCACATCCCCAGACTCGGACCGAACCTCATAGGTCATCCGACCCGCCGAAGAAAACGGAAGGACACCGAAACCCGACCGATGCCGACCTGCCGGGCCGAACCGTCTTCCCGGGGGGCCGGAATTCCCGGCGCGGCCGAGGCCTGGCCGAGGAGCTGCTGTTCTTGGAGTGGTGCTCTGAATGCCACCGGGCGCGGGCACCGAGCCGGACGGTCGATTCGGGTCGATGCCGGACTGCTGCTTCTGGTGCGGTGACCAGAAGCGGCCCTGCGGCAGACCTGGAAGCTGCAGGTGTTGCAGGTGAATGAATGAGACATAATGAGATCAAATAAATTGAAAGAATCAGCAGACATCCATGATGCCCTTGAGTATTGGACGATTTTTTGGAGTTTGTTAGGGCCATGGGCTGATGACCAAAGGGGCATGGGAGTTGGTTTGTACTGTTTCCATCCTGTCCACACCTACCCTGTTGGAAAGACAGAAGACTTTTTAAGGCTGTTTTCTTCTACCTGTGATGGTACACTAGATACTGAAACACCCCAGATCTGTCCAGGCGTGCATGAGGGCGGGCATTAATGGGCGAATCTCCCAGAACAACTGTGGAATACTGTGGAGAATCGATCCCAGCTCGATTCTGAAACACTGTTTTGCCCAATCTCGACCTATGGCTTTGATGTTTGTCACTCACAAGGAAAAAACAGTCCTCCACAACGCCCTGGCCAGAAACACCAGCGAGCACTTCTGTGGAATCCTCCGAAGACGGTCGCGCGCCACACCGCCACACCAATCCGGTCGAATTCGACCACTCGCGCCCCTGGGCACCCAGGTGGTGCTTCGTCAGCTGTTGGCGGAGCGCCACGTATGGGACCGGGCGACGCAAGAGCTTCGAGAGCTTCGAGAGCGCACGCACACGGAGGCTGGAAGATCAAGAGCACTCGGTGGTCTTGCGGATCGGATGATGTTTTATGGTCCGATTAGATCCCCTCACCTGGGGAAGATGTTCTAAATATTCTAATACTGTATAAGATGTGCTAATTATGTATGTTAGTTTTTTCCCGGTTCCTTGAGCAAATCCAAGAAACACCGGCCAGACCGGTCTTCGACAAAAGGTGTGTCCCCATGTCTCCAAAAAACGCAAATCCAGGCTGGCTAGAGGTGCTCTTTGCTACAATGCGACTTGCTGTGCTTGTTGTTTTAATGTTTTTTATCTGCCCCCCGTCTGAAGATGCTGGGGGGTTCAGTTTTCCAGTGCAGTCTACCAAAGGTGCAGTCTACCCAGGCCACCTGATAACTGCTACGCTCAACACTACAGTCTTCGGGTGCACCTTACGTAGAAAGCTTCCTTTCTCAACGGCTCTGGCCGTTGGCCGCAGGTGCCATCGGACGCTTCCCAAGGGGATGACGTGGTGATGTCGGAGGGCTCGGACGAGGCGGACGCGTCGCAAGACGTCTGGTTTTTTTTGGTGCTTGAGCTCATAGCTGAAGTCAAGTTTGATCAATTGTGCGCACAATTCCGAAGTCTGGTATTCTGGTGTTTTGGGATTTGCTGTGGTTTCAAGTGAATGGTTGAGTCAATTTCAACTGTGTGTCGAACCTGAAACATATTGCATCAATTCTTGCAGGTGCCTCTCTGAAAGAAAGTCTGTTTGTGTGCTCCTTTGTGGGCAGCAAAAAGTGTCGTTTTGAATCTTGTTCTGTTCAAGTTATTATATACCGGTACGTTATATATATATATATATAATAGTTCAATGATGATAGTGATGTTCAATGAACAATGATGATTCTTGCCTACTATTTTGGTGTGCAAAGACCACCAAATACACAGGTTGTGGAACTTCCGAACCTCCGCCGAGCGCTTTGGGGCAGGACATGGACCTCATGTCCCTGCAGCGCCGGGCGGCGGAGCGCCGGCGCGCGGAAGGCAACACAGAAGGGGAGGAGAGATCCGACCAACATGATGTTTAATATCATTTATATATAATGTAAGATCTGAATCCTCTGGCTGTTTCGTTCTAGAGCTGTGTGGTAACTCTTGTGCTTCCTATTGCTTCGTGCTTGCTTTGACCCACAGCCAATGGCGAGCCAATCCAACCCGTAGAAGTCGACATGGAAACAAGAAAGGAATCAGAAAGAAACGGACAAATATAGATCCTAGTCTGAACATCGTGCTTCACAATCTCACGTACAAAGGATCTCCAGTGGACCTGCCGTATTTTGCTCCTTGCCGCCGCAGCTGGCCAGGTAGCCGCTTGCCCATTTTTGCATCCAACTTGGAATGTTTGGGGGCGCTCCATCGAGCAGCTTCTCAACGGCTTTGTGCCTGCCTGGCGGTGCCAGGCCGTGCCGAGATCATATGCCTTATCAGGTGAAGTAAAGGTGGCATCGTTGTTTCGGGGGATCAACAACATCTCGCAGCCACCCTTCGCCACCCGCAGGACAGAACTGAGATGACACACAGCTCGCTCCGAGCTTTGCTTTTCAGCCGTTGTTTTCGGTCCATTTTCTGTGGCTGGAAATGGGCAATGCATGCAGCCTCAGGGAGGTGAAACACCCGAATTCGTCAGTGGCCGGCCGAGAATTCGCTCGAGTCAGTCAGTGTTTGGCGGAGGATGCCTACAAGAATAGGAGTTCGCGAAGGAGTGACAGGAGCGAGTGACAGTGTTTGTGTAATTACAACTAGAGCTGCGAAGATGAGAATGTATTGTCCTTCCGCCACTCCAGAGCCATTTCACAAGTCTCGAGACATCTCGAGACCTCCGGGGTTTTGAGGGCTCGCTGGGACATGATGGGACGTGGGACTTGTGCAGAATTCACACCTGCGAAGCCGGCGGGCAGAGAGGCGTGTGCTCCTTTCAGAAAGAATCTCATGATGCTGACAGTAGATGATGACCCTCACGAAAGATCACAAAAGTGTAATTGTGTGGTATGGCACAAGTTGCCACTTTACCGTAGGATGTTAGGGATGTGACTTAATTACGGCACTGAAAGTGTTTGCTCAAGATCTCAGGTGTTTCGAAGAACAATGCTGTTTCATCTTGAACCACCAGAGCTATGCTGTGGTGCTGCTTTGTGGTGGTAGCCGATCATTGGTTAAATGAATGGTTGCATCAATTCGGGATCCACCAGCAGATTGACTGTGAAATCGAGCAAGTTACACAAGCATCGACCAATTCCACATCATTCCACATCTATAATTAGCTATGTCAAAGCTTTGTGCATCGGCTAAGCTCGCGCTCGCATCTTCCACGCGTCTCACTTGCTTGCGTTCAAATCACTGCTCTGAGGTGGGCCGAAGAGCGGGTGCGCTTGGTGTCACATCAATATCAACAGAAGCAGGAGATGACTTGTATGCTTTGCCGGCACTGACTTTGCTAGTTAGAAGCGACGTCCGCGCCGTGGTGTTTCACTCTAAACAATCTCATGTTATCAATGCTTCAATTTTACCAAGTGCTTTCTCAGTTGGACTGCTTCAACTTGGCAGCAAGGACATGTGAATGATTCTGAATGGTCCTCCATGCTCCTCCGGCGAGGAGCTGCTCAAAGCGCAAGCAGATCTGGCCCAGTCCTCAAGCAGATCTGACGAGACCGGAAAGACAACCCGGTCGGACTGGAAAGGGAACCGTTTTTTTTGGGGGTTTGATGTTGGAAAAAACATGAGACAGCCCTGTTGTTTCTTTTTTTTTGTGACAGACGACTGTGAAGACATTCTGAAAGCATCCTCAACAAACGCCCGTTTGTTCCATTCCATCGGATGGATGAGTACAGTCCACGGTCCAGAAGAGTGAGTCGGCTTTAGACTCTCAGATTTGGCCACGCTCCTGTAGTGGTTTCAACCGCAGCAATTCACAATGAATGGAGCAGGGCCAGATGTTCCCAGATGCTGAAATTTAGACGAGAACGCTACTTAGACGCCTGTAGCAGGTCATCGGAGTCAGAGATGGTGAAGTTGAACTTGCAGGTACAGTGGCGATATCAAAATCCTTCTTGTACAAGACGAGTGGAGCAAACCAATCTCACGCCGAACGCATCTGCCCTGACCAAACATGACTGACCAAACTCAGATGCCCTCCAGTCAGCTGGGTGGTCAGTTCCAGGCAGTTCCATCAAACTTCACAGGGTGCGGAGATTGAAAATGGTAACTCCTGTTTGAATGGTGAAACCGACTTTCTGGATGCTATGATGCTGGAAGCCAAACTCAATTAGGTAGGCAAATAATAGGTATTGTGTTTACAATAGTTTAATAGTTTATAATTATGTATAATTTTCAGAATAATCACTTGTGTGTGGAGGGTTTTGGTGCCCAGCTACCGGTCCCAACTCACTTGCCCTATAGGGAGTGAGGTTGAAGGCTAAAGCTTCAACTGAACTACGGAAGGGTTCTCCGCCTCCTCATGCGTAGTTATTGAGCAGCTGGAGTTCTTTTCAAGAGATGCATAGATCAAGCCATCCATGACCAAGAAGAAAGTGTCAGGGAAGAACGAAAGGTTGTACTGCAGCGTAGCTCCAGTCTTCATGGTTCCAGTGATTCTTAGCAGACTGTCCCAAACAATGCTGGATGGCCTTAGACTCTCTCCTTGCAAGACAGCCGGGCTCGGTTAATGTTTTAGGCTCAACTACGCCAAGCAGGAAGTGAGCTGCAGGCAGGAAGAAGGGAAGAAAGGGAAGGCTGTGGGAGGATGTGCTCTTCTGATCATATGTTGGCAAAGTTTGACGAGGTGTCTTCTGGGCAACTTCCTCACCTTGAGGTTCGTAGCTGCTGTAGCTCGATCATTTGGATAGGCACTGTGCGCACTGTTATATGGTCCGGCTCAATCCTCAAACTACTGGACGTCATTTGATGAGTTCATCTTGATACTGATAACCTAGCGGCTACTACTGATCGTTTTTATGAGAAGTTTGACTTTCACTAGTGTGTAGCAGGCTGCGGCTGAGCGGATTGCTGAGCATTCCATGCGTGCTGCACCTGTGGTGGCCACAGAACGGGAGAGGCGCACAACGGGAGAGACGGAAAACGCCAGGTATTCAGAGTCGGAAAACGGAAGGATCGAAAGAAATGTTTTGGCATTCGATGCTTTGGCATTCGATGTTGTGGACATCTGATCCTCGGTTTGACAGTGCGACCATAACCATCCTGCACACTCCCAAGGTAGATGGTGGATATGAGCATTACACTCCGACTTACTAACATGGAAGAGGAAAACCCCCTGTTCGTAAAGGAAAGTCGTCTTCCAAGAGACTATTTGCCCCTTTCATGTTAGTCAATGTTAGATATGTTATACTCAGTCAGAGTGTAGTGACTTCAGTAATGAGCTGCCTGAAGTAGCTCGTCTATAACTCTGAATTACCTTGCTCAATCGATGGGGGCCAACCCTGTAATTGCATATGTCCTTCCTTGATTGAACATGGATCGTTGATAGTTGCGTGCATTCCAAAACACTGGAAAACGATAAAGGCCAACCCAAAAGTATGTTGGCATCTTTTGGCATCTGGGACATAGAGACGTTGTTTTGTTTGCCACTTATATATGTGCGCTTTATCTCAAAACCACTTGTCAAATCCTAAAACAGATCGAATAGTGCTGAGTTTGTTTACGCAGAAGCGGCTGGAGCATCACTGAGCATGTTGAATGGCAAGTGCGAGCCAGGGCAGAATTTGAGATGCAAGGTGCCAACATCGCGAAGAAAACGCGAAGGTTTGCCAAGTTTGCCCTCTCTTGCCCGTCTTGCCCTGCACTTTTGGTTCAACGGACCTGGCCCTGGCGTATTCGGATGCAAATGAGTCACATCGTCATATCGTCCAGTACTTTATGCATGTCTTTTTTACAAAGAACAACCAGAACTAGGACTGCCTTTTTTCTGGGAACACACAGCGTGAGGTGAGTCAGGTGCAGTGTCCATGTGTGAAACGCTGCAAACCGATACGGGACGTCCTAAACTTGAATGCATACACCTGCATTACACAAACAATTTAGGTTAATGACATAAACCAACCACCGATCGGGACGGCGTCTCCTCATAAATTTGGGGTTGCGAGTCTTGCAGCAACAGAGGAAGGAGAAGGAGAAGGAGAGAGAGAGAGAGAGAGATGTCAGAGATCCTTGGACCTGGCCCACCAGCTCACTCAAATGTAGAATGATGATGAATGATGTAGACAAAAAGCACCAGGAAAATCCACCTCCACTAGCCCACCCCGCAATGGCAGGTTGGCGTCTGAGGCAGCTCTGAATCTCGCCGAGGTCGGCTGCTTTTTTGAGGGGCATCCACGTGCGGTGGGGTTGACTTCTTGCACTCTCCGACGGTTTCGCTTAGTAGAAACCCTTAGGTACTCGTAGTGCTCCTAGTAGCTTTTTGCTCCTAGTAGTATGGCCAGGAGCCCCGAGTAGCGTCCTTGCTCC